TTTTTTTAAAACCTTAATGCTTCTGCTTCATGCATTCTTAAAATTAAAATAACATTTTGTGAAAGATGCTATAGAAATAAATCAATACCATTCGTCGTAACTTGCAACTGTCTCAAAGAAACTTCACAAAGTGAATCGATTAAGCTATTTAGGGAGATTACAGTTATTCTGATTTTTTTTTTTAATTTTTGAAACATTAACAGCTCAATGTTTTTTTGACAGAAAAAAAGATGCCCCAGACCTTGTTAATAATGTGTAACATAAATCTATTTTGGTAAGTATAAGTCACCAATGCTAGCATATCTAGCTAGAAATCTGAATGACAGAAGATAAAAAAACAAGGACAGAGACTGAATCCAAGGACTTAAATTGGTAAGCACCCTGTGAAAGACTCATTAACTAAGTAAACTGCATTCACAAGAATAACAAAGAAAGCTGTATTTCACAAGCTGGGAGCATGGCGTCCCCAGAGTCTAAGGGCAATAAAACTCATTTTCTGCTACAATCAGCCCGTTTTAGGTTGTTCTTTTCAATTAGGAAGGTTCTTTGAAATCTGGCATGTGAAGTTATGGCAGAGCAGATGAAAAGGCTGGAGTGAGAGGGAGTTAACACACTCCTCTACTTTACATTTTCTTTTATTCTTTGCTTTGATTATGGAGTAGAGAGTGGCAAGGTTAATGGGTTAACACTTTAGAAATAGAAAATATGAAGCAATAATTACACCCTTATAACTCATGGCTAATGTACCTTCAAAAATGCAGACTAGACACTCTACCTTGGAGCTCTCACCAATACATCGGGGTGAAAAAATTAAATGAATGGACTATAAATATTTACATAATTACAATGAGCTGACAGTGAGGGCATATGATAAATCTGGAATTGATCTAATCTAGCCTTTGCAAATAAAGTGAATTTTTCGAGCTCTTGCTTAGTTGTTTATTTGATATAAACAATTTTTCCGCAATATTAACCAGCTATTGCCCATGGTGTGTTTTATACAGTAAATGTCCAAACCACACAACTCTCTATTAGAATTCAAGAAAAGGAAAGAGACTATCATGTTAAAAAGTGTTGGTTTGGGAGACGGATTCTTCTCTGTCAGTGATAACAAAGCACTATGTAATGAAAGCGTTCTTTTAGGACTCTATGCAGACAACACAATCCGGGGATGAGTGGGGAAAACACGGGGAAAAAGCATGCGGGAGTCGGGAATGAAAACAGGGGGCATGTCCATGGTGCGCTGGTGTTCGGGGAAGGTGTGGCCGAGGCAAACAATCCAGGAATAAGTCCAAGGTAGAATCCGAAAGGAGGCAAAAGTCCAAAGCCAGGCAGTCCATCCAAGACAAACGTGGTTAAAAACAGGAACTGGGTTGGGACCAGCACGGGAACAGGAACAGGAACAGGAACTAAAACCTTAACGGTACCAGATGCTTCCAGGTCCCGAACTCGCCTGGTACGGAAACCAATGCAGAGCCCGGAATAGCGTCAGCGTCTGGGTTTTAAGGGGAACTGAAAAGGGGGCTGGAACAGGGAGCAGGTGCAGGAGATGAGTAAAAAACAAGGAAGGGCTGGAGCGTCCTTAAGAGGAGAGGTTTACGAACGTGACACACTACAACTGACAATAAAGATTAATAAGACAAGTCTATATTCATTTATAAAAAACAATGAAATATTTCAGAAGGTAATTTAATGCGGATAAGGCAGTGGTACTGTAAGTACTGCTGCCTCCCAGAGTGTGGGCCCTGGGTTGGATTCTGGACCTGTGTGTGGTTCGTATGTTCTCCCCATGTTTGCATTAGTTTCCTCCAGATGCCCCGGTTTCCTCCCACAGTCCAAAGACATACCGGTAGGTTAACAGGCTTCTGGGAAAAATGGGCCTGGACTGAGTATATGCATGTAGGTGTCTATGTCTGCCCTGTGATGGATGTGCCTCCTGTTCAGGGTGTTCCCTGTCTTGTGCCTGTTGTTTGCCGGGATAGATTCTGGCTCTCCCACGACCCTGTATTGCATTGAGCAGTTAGAAAATAGATGAATGGTAATTTCATGAGATTGACTCTAATGAAAGCTTTTACTGAAGTCGTCACTGCACTACAAACTAGGGACACTGTTTTTGAAAATAACAATACTGCTCCAAAAGCAGTGATGATGCCCTTTAACCATCCATCGAGGTTAACTCCCTGGTAGTTCGGTTGTCCAGATGTAACAGAGGTCATCCACTGAGCCAACTACAGATGTGACATCAACCCCCTCTGAAGTCCGGACACTGTAGAGCTCTGCTGTGGCAGAGGAGCTAGTTTTGTGTCACAGCGTAATTCTCCCCTGGCTACAGAGTGACCGGGATTGAATCCCAGCAGGGGCAGAGCACAGCCTCACTACAGGACACTGCTGTCGTGTATAATTCTTCTGTAGCAGAGTTGTCTGATGACTAGGGAGTATTGCAGTGCGTGTTCGGAACCCATGATGAGAGTCTTCAATTTATCAGCCCTAGACTCTCATTAATAGGTTTATCAAAAGCGCAATGCTTCCCATGTGCAATTTTAGAACCAATATCCACTGTCAAACGTCTTGTACTTTTCCTTCTTTATATTCTACCATTCTACTGACAGCCTATTTTGTAGGTCTTGAATGCATCTCAGTCACTTTTTCACTAGCAGAAACAAATAAAAAGATCAGAATAGAAAAAAATAATCCATCCTGCTGACTGAAATGCTTCATACTTACACATCTGTGAGTTCGTTGAAGTGTTCATTCTGCTC